GCGACAGCACCGTCACAAAGTTCTAGGAAACAGACAGCCATCAAACTACAAGTCCCCACCCTGTGACGTATTCTTCGAAAATGAAGGCAAAACAACCATTTCCTCATCCACGATCAAGAAAGTTCATTATCATAAAGTTCTTCTTGAACTGACAATAAATTAAACACGGACACCCCACCAAAACTCCACCTTCTCTCCCTTCCTTCCTCCCTTTCTCCCTCTCCCCTCCCTCTTTCCTCCCCTCCCTCTCTCCCCCTCCATCTTCCTCTCTTCTTCTCCTCCATCCCTCCCTTTCTCTCCCCTCCCCCCTTCTCCTTCCCTCCCTCTCTTCCCCCTCCGTCTTCCCCTCTCCCTCTCCCCTCTCCTTCTTTCCTCCTCCCCCCATCTCCCTCCTTCTATCCCTCCCTCTATCCCTCCCTCTCTTCCTCTCTGAAACCATTCCAAACAGTAGCTGCTTCCAGCACTGCAGTGCTCATAGACCAGCAGCTGGAGAATGAAGTGGAGCAGTTGGCTCTGTTCCACCTAGTGGCAGCTGCATGGTTTTTAAAATTTTTTATTGAATTTTTGTGTATTTCATACAGAAAATCATCTTTATGCCCCCTTCCCCTTTGGCACCTCCCATAGCCCCCTCCATGGGAGTTCATACATTCTGTCATTTGTGTTAAGGCCTATCATGTCAAGTTAGTGCTCCCAGAAGTCCCTCAGTGTTAAGTTCATCCACTGGGGTCTAGTCAGCCTATCTAGAGTCTCTCCCTTCAAGAAGATCAGCTCTTCCTCACCCAGCAGTAATCAGCTGCCAATAATTCTTCAACTAAGATTAAGCTCTCTGTTCATTTCCACAGTTCTGTGCTGTGTTTTTGTCTGCCTAAGTTTGCATGGACTTGTGCATGCTGACACCATTGCTGTAGGTTCATATGAGAAGGGTCCCAGGCTCCGGTAGGACTCTTATTTCCATACGGTCATTCACCTCTTCCCTGGCTCTTACAATCTTCCCACCCCCCCCTTCTACAATGGCCCCTGAGCCCGTGGGTGGTGGACCTCAATATAGGAGTCCTGTGGACCCACACTCTGCAGACTCTTATTCTCCATGTTTTGGCCATTTGTGACCTTTTGCATTCCTGGCCCTCTGTTGCATGAGGGAGCTTCACTGATGAGAACTGAAAGATGCATTAGTGTTCTCTTCATCCCTTGTTTTATGTTTCGTGAGTCTTAGGTGTAGAGACTGCATCCTAGATGTGCCACTTAGGCTTGGCAGTTCACAGAGAATCTCTGTGTGTGACCAGTGGTAACTCTGTAATAATGTCTGTTGTTGAAAAAGAAGCTTCTTTGATGGGTGGTGACTGGGATGCTTGTCTGTAAATTTAAGGATCTGTATTTTGCACATAGTAAGAAATTACATTTGTCTTGGGATGTGACAGCCTTGGGGTTTTCTCTGAGATCTATGGCCTCTCCAGCTATGTGAATTTGGCTAGGTTTACAGTACCAGTTTCCTCCCATTGAGTGGGCTTTAAGTCCAATTAGGTGGCAGCAGTTAAGTTAAGGTTGGGAGAGAACACACTGGGTGGGCAGGCCCCTGTAGATGGCTTCCCACAGCATGGAGACTGGGCAGAAGAAGGTATAGCGGGCCCCGAAAACGCTGCTGCAGCAAATCAGATCCACCTAACTTCAGCTGCAGGATAGAAATACCCAGCTCTCAACAGGGAACAGTCACGGGCACAAAGAGAAGAGTTGGGGCAGGGTCCTCCAGTACAGCAGTCTTCAGAAACACAGATTGGCACTTGACATACAGAAGAAATGTGTGTCAGCAAAAAGAGTTCTGTTGTTATTGTTGTTTTGAGACAAGGTCTCCCTTTAGCCCCAGCTGGCAGGGAAAAGGCATGCACCACCACACTCAGCTTTCAGCAGACGTTTATTGTAAAGGCAGGTATCTACACATACTATAAAATATGTAAGCAAAGTCAGATTTGGACCCCCAACAGACAATGGTCAACAGAGACGAAGTATCCACAGCACTATGCACACTGGGGCACTGTGTAAAATGAGGGAATTATTCCTAGTGGAGAAGAGTATCCAGGGCAGGGGGAGAACACAGGAAATGGTGCTGGGTCAATTTGCTGCCCATTCAGACAAGAAAATTAGACAGTTGAAACCTCAACTCAACAGATCCTATCTACAGAAAAATAACCTGCAGCCATCAAACCAAACCTGTAAATGACAGGTAGAAACCTACTAAAAGAGACATCAGAGAAACCAACCCTTGTTTCAGATACAAGACCTTCCTATATCATACTACCTGGGACCAGGTCTGCAGGTGACACGTTTCCCTCCATAAGAATTGAGCTAGCCATCATATGTATACATACACGGCCTGCACTCCTATCTCCAAGGAACAACATGTCACCACCAGACATGTGGACCGACAAGAGGCGGACACAAGCTGCACTGCAGGCCCTCTGCAGCACAGAAGACGGCAAAGCGGACGGACCTATATCTTAACATCACAAGCTGAAAAACGGAGAAACACACATGAAATAGTCACCAAACTGACCGTTTATCAGTTACAGAGGAAAAACTAACTTACACAGAGCAGAAATAGTATAAATAATATTTCTGATAATAATGCAATAAGATTAGAAAAAAATTTAAATTTCTAGAAATGAAAAAACTTTCTGCTGAACAAACACTGGCAAAAGGAGACGTGAACACCAACAGGAAGTGGAGTCTCTTCCGCTGGGAAGATAGCTCAGTGGTGGAGTGCTTGCCTATGTGTGAGACCGGTATCACTCTCCCCCTCAAAAACAGTAACAGTCAGAAAAGCAATGATAAAACACTAAGCTGTATTTAAAGTGTAACCAGGGGAAAATTCCTAACTTTAAAGATCTGCATCAATAAAACTTTAAGAATGAAAATACACATTCCAAACTGACAAAAAGGAAAAAACCCAGAACAAACTGTAAGAAACAAAGAAAGAAATGAAAGCACACACGGTAGAAATCATTCTAACAGTACATCAGACCAATGAATTAAAACCCTACGGCTCTGACGAAAACGTCAACAGCTTAGTGGAGAAGAGAAGCAATGTCACAAAGAGTGAGCAGGCGCCGAGCCAATGCACAGCCACCGCACACCTCAATGCAATAGCTTTAAAATGTAACTAAGATGTCTGGTTTCTAAGAAATGTATCAAAATTAATGAACGGCTGCAACAGATGAGTCTCCCCACAGGGCTCCAGAGAGCACCAAGGAGCAGCACAGCAGGGAGCAGCACAGTCAGGGCAGCAAAGCTCGGAGACCCAGCAGCAGCGACGCAGCATGAGGGGTGCAGAGGGAAAAGAAATAGAATATCCAGTTCCTTCGTGAATCAAAGATGGCACTGATACTTCAGCCGTACACAGGCTCTCAGAAACACAGCTACAGACCAACTCACGTAGATACAGACAAGAGAATCCCAGAAGGAATGCCGGGAGCATTCTCTAGCACCACAGCAAGATGCAGCTGACCAAGAGAAGCCACACCAGGACTGCGGGTCCCACGACTGGCACGCAATGGGCCAGCAGATACAGGGACCCTGGGGTCATGACCACTACGTCGAAAAAGACCTTTGAGAACTGCTGAGACAATGGAAAGGGGGCGTTCCTTCTCATGGGCATGCTCCCAGCCCAGAGCCAGCATCCTCTGGTGGAGAACACTGGACACCCCTCAGAAGTCAGGAAGAGGCAGAGGTGTCGGTGATCTCTGTTACTTCACCTCTGAAGACCAGAGAAAACAATCCACCAATGAGAATGGACTGCAGAAGTGCCGCGCTCTTGACATCAGCAAGTGTCTGGACTTTGGAGCCAAGAGAGTCAACCATAAAACTAAATCATCAATCAAAAGGGGCTCACCAAGGTTACTATGAATATAAACCAATAGGTGTCCTATACACAAAAAGTGACCGAAAGGTACAATGGGAATAAAAGTTCCACTCACAATCCTAGCACCAAAAAAAATAAAATAAAGGTAAAATAGCTGCGCTGGGCTGGGCTGGGCTGGACTCAGTGGTAGCACACTTGCCAAGCAAGTGCAAAGCAATGGATTTGATTCCCAGCACTGCAAAAAATAATAAAATAAAATAAACAAAATAAAATTAAATTAAAAAGACAAATCAATAAATCAGACATTGTGGATGAGGAGTTGTGAAGAGAAAAGTTCACAGGGTAGGTCAACATGGCCATCCTGCCTATGAGGCGGCTTCTGGCTGCATCTGGGGCCTGGACTGTGGGAGGGCTCCCAGAGGATGGGATCGGGCCTGCACTATGTGCACATGCAATTAGTACTACACCTGCTTTCCTTCTGGGCTCTGTGACATGTCAGGTAGGCACTGTGTGGCCATCTTCAGTAAGAATGCTGAGTGCTGAGCCTCTAGTACACAGACCTGGCCAACACCACCTCACACACTACCACACTCATCACCATATTGTGTGACTTCCTGAGGGACAAAGTGCGGGTGAAACCAGGCACAGGTTTCCGGAGTCCTCACTCATTAAAGTCACAACACCTCTGCAGCCTCAGATGCAGGCTAAATGCCCAGAGGAAATGATTTATGAACTCTGCAGACTGCCAAGTGCTTATTTTATTACTCAGACAGGAAGAGATAACCCTTGGAATTTCCACTTAGCTCACAGCAGAAGTCTAGGTTCTTGAACACATGATGACAAACACAACTGAGAGCCAAGATGCCAAGCAGGAGAGCGAGGCCACAGGCAAGAGTACAGCAACGAGTTCAAGTCGATTAGACCCTTTGGCCACCAGGGCTCATAGCCACCAGGTTGTACATGGGGACTCCCCAGGTGTGCCACGATTATGTGGATCAGAAACACAGGGACAAAGTCTTCTCCTGGCTGAGGAACCAAGACAACAGACATCAGGAGAGTGTGGTCCCAAGCCACTCTGGAAAGTTCTGCTGGACTGTGAGATTTCCCTCCTATCCCAAAAGGCCTTGCCTCCCGAGCTAATACTTACACAGCACTCTGTCCAGTAGATGTGAAGGAAGGGGAACGTGAGCAGGGCTTTGTTTCCTTCTTTGGGCAGCAGCTCCTCTTTGAACTGAACAAAGTTGGATTCCAGGTGAATCATCTTTGGAGCCCGGCCATAGGACCTACAAACAAGGTTTTCAAAGTAACTGAGAAACAAGCATGGAGGCTCTAGGTTCAGTACAGAATCACACACAGAATCATCCTAGAGCCAGCATGGAGGCCCAGCCTACGATCACAGTGTAGCTGTTAGGTGGACGTACCAAGATCACAAGTTTGAAGCCCTAGCAAGTTTCTGTCTCAAAAAAATTGATGGTGAGGTTAGGGAAGTAGCTCCATGTCATAGTGTTTGCCCAACATGAGTAAAGCTGGGGATCAATTCCCTGCAAAACACACACACCACACACACACCACACACACACACACACACACACACACACCACACACACCCCAATTCCCTGCAAAACACACACACCACACCACACCACACACATACACACACCACACACACACACCCCAATTCCCTGCAAAACACACACTCCACACCACACACACACACACCCCAATTCCCAGTGTTTTTATCACAGTAAAAGAACACACACACACACACACACACACACACACACACACACACACCTCTGAAAGTATAAGGCCCTACATGAAGCCACTCCGTTCTTTGGACCCCTCACAGAGGCATTTTCCTTGCACTGACTGCTTCTCTTGCTCGGATCAGCACCAGCTAATCCAGGAAGGGGTGCAGCCAGAACCCAAAGACCCCATACCTTCTCCATTCCATTGGTTCTCTTGGAAGCTGCTGGGAAAGTGTTGGATAAATAGAGGTGAACAGATTCTGATCTCCAGCACCTACAACAGGAGCAAAGAGAAATCCAGTTATGTCACTTTAAGATGAGCATAGGCAAAACACACGTTCAATTCACAAAGTCAGTACTCTGAGGTAATTTTAGACTCATGAGAGTCACATCGTAAAGCAAGACTACCTAAATTTAAGGGACTAGTTTCAGGAACCCCAGCACTTAACCTGCATGTTGGAGTGGAAACCCTCACTGTGCCTCTATGGGCAGAAGCCGCTCATAGAAAAATGGAGAATGAGGCCAGCTCTGGAAGTAGCTCGGCCCCCTCCTGGGCTCGGCAGCCACTGCTTTCTAAAACTGCAGAGGAGCCAGAAAACCCCACATAGGCAAGGGAGGCCTGAGAAGTGTCAGAGACTTCTTCCCTCAGCCACTCAGAGGCACAGTACCAAATGAGCAGTGCTCCACATGAAGCGTAGGACATCGCAGGTCACCCTTTTCCTTGGGCCTCCCCGATCCCAACTCAGACTGGGATAGTTAACCTGTGGCCCCCGGCCTCATGAGGTTAGAGGTGAACCGGGGAGGCCTAAGGCTGGCCTGGGCAGATATGTATGTCTGACCTCACTCTGGTTCTCAGTGTGTCAGCTTGTAGCCTTACTCTAACAGAACTGAAAAGTCCATTTGGCTTTCCTGAAATAACAAGGCCCCTACATACACAAACTAAAAAACCCTTTACTAGACAACAAAAACTGTTCTGCCCAGGGTCCTCTGAAGCCAAAGCATTTTCCTATCTGCTTTTATATCGATCTTAAAGGAGTCACTGGGAATTGTGAGCCATTAGCAATTGCTTATTTTGCCATCACGAGCCTAAAACAGAACCTCTGAAAATCACACAGCAGTGTCAAGTCATTGGGGAGAGAAAGGACTATCTAGGCAGCTGGAAACAGGGGCTAGTCAGGCACTGGGAAGCCTGACTACCTGGACCCTGACCAGCACCACTGCTGACCAACTGCATAAGCCTGAGTTCTGCCCTTTCTGTGCCTGGGGACCAGACTGACAAGAGGAAGGACAGCTCCCCAGCATGGCCAGGATGAGGGTAAGTCAGCACATGAACAAAAACCCCGGGCACAGCCTGGCAGAATAAATTAAAAGCCTGCGGTTACTTTCATCCTGTTTGTTTACTTAGAGCAAAGTAAGTAAAGAAAAAACACAAGCTGATCTCCACAGGAACCCACTGCACAGGTTGTCAGTGCAGACTGGACAGTAACGACATTCTGGCATTCTATCATGAACCCTTTCCCCATGTCCTAATTTAGAAGACTACAGGCCATACATCTGTCAAGGGCAGGATGTCACCTGACACACTGAAGGATTTATTCTGTGACAACACCTACCCAACATTCCAAGACCCAAGTATTTCTGAGGTCCGAGCCCCAGTACCTCAGAGTGGAACTACATTTAAAGATAAGGTTGTTGACATTGATGATTTAGTTAGAATGACATCTTCAGTGAGAGTCCTAATCCTGGGAGGAGAAGAAAATGTGAGGGAGCCAGGCATGTGCACCGAGGGAATGGGCCCTTTACAGAGCCCAGCCTCCACCAGCTCCTCACTTTGATGTGAAGACCACAGTCTTCAGGCCATCAAAGTGCTGCACTAAGTGAATTAAGAACATGAATGCTGAGGAGCCGCTCAACCTGCAAGAGGAACGCAGGCTGAGGGGACACTCAGTCTGTCAGAGGAACGCAGGGCTGAGGGGACACTCAGTCTGTCAGAGGAACGCAGGGCTGAGGGGACACTCAGTCTGTCAGAGGAACGCAGGGCTGAGGGGACACTCAGTCTGTCAGAGGAACGCAGGGCTGAGGGGACACTCAGTCTGTCAGAGGAACGCAGGGCTGAGGGGACACTCAGTCTGTCAGAGGAACGCAGGGCTGAGGGGACACTCAGTCTGTCAGAGGAACGCAGGGCTGAGGGGACACTCAGTCTGTCAGAGGAACGCAGGGCTGAGGGGACACTCAGTCTGTCAGAGGAACGCAGGGCTGAGGGGACACTCAGTCTGTCAGAGGAACGCAGGGCTGAGGGGACACTCAGTCTGTCAGAGGAACGCAGGGCTGAGGGGACACTCAGTCTGTCAGAGGAACGCAGGGCTGAGGGGACACTCAGTCTGTCAGAGGAACGCAGGGCTGAGGGGACACTCAGTCTGTCAGAGGAACGCAGGGCTGAGGGGACACTCAGTCTGTCAGAGGAACGCAGGGCTGAGGGGACACTCAGTCTGTCAGAGGAACGCAGGGCTGAGGGGACACTCAGTCTGTCAGAGGAACGCAGGGCTGAGGGGACACTCAGTCTGTCAGAGGAACGCAGGGCTGAGGGGACACTCAGTCTGTCAGAGGAACGCAGGGCTGAGGGGACACTCAGTCTGTCAGAGGAACGCAGGGCTGAGGGGACACTCAGTCTGTCAGAGGAACGCAGGGCTGAGGGGACACTCAGTCTGTCAGAGGAACGCAGGGCTGAGGGGACACTCAGTCTGTCAGAGGAACGCAGGGCTGAGGGGACACTCAGTCTGTCAGAGGATGGCAGGGTGAGGAGCCGCTCAGTCTGTAAGGTGCTCACCCCTCAGCATGAGGACCAGTGTTCCATCCCCAGAATCCATGTAAGAAGCCTGTCATGATGGCAAGTGCTTGTAATCCCAAGCACTAGAGAGGTAGAAACAGGTGGACAGAGGCTCACTGGAAGTCAGCCTGGCCTACAGGGTGAGTTCCAGGCCAAGTGAAAGACTCTGTCTCAAAATACAAGGTAGAGAATGACACCTGAGGTTGAGATCTGACTTTACCACGTATGTGTATGTGCACACACACACATATGCGCACACAGAAAAAGAAAATGAGGACAAACCACCATATTTTTCTCAGAGCAGAGAGCTATAGAGCAGGCCGTAACTACTTCAGCATTTGTGTCAAGCATCATGAAAACAAGACATGTTTTTCCCAACACCTGAAGGAGAGAAGAGTTGAGATGTAAAACCTCAGAACTCAACCTCTACTCACAGGGCAGGTGACTGAATGAGTAACATTTCATTACAGATTCCTGAAAGCGTCCAACAGCTAAGGAGTCTCTGGAGCATTAAGGCCTGCTGCGGGGCAGCCTCCCCAGAGCAGCCCAAGGACACGGCTACTAAGATAGCAGCTTCCAGGAACCCTGCTCAGAAAAGTCAGGTCTACTGCCTAACTCAAGAGGTCAACTCAGACCAGCTAGTCAAATTAATGCATAAAGGCCATTCAAAGCACAGTCCCATGAACACAAGTCTCTCTGTGTTCCCAGTGCTCAGGGCCAACTAAGGAGACAGACTCAAAAGGCTGGGGAATGCAGTGTCCTGGCTGATGGAACACACCCACCCCACAGGCAGCGACAGTTGTGTGTTGGACCACCTTTGCAGACACCCTCGAAGCATGGTGGCACCAGCCTGAAGGGCAGGCACAAAAGCCCTCAAGTACACAGGAAGAGTAAGGAGCTGCATGAGCCGGCTGCACCTTGTAGAAGGGTACGCACTCCCTCAGGGTGCCGCTTCAGCCCCCTGAAGCTCCCAGGCTCAGAAGGGCACTGCTCAGAAAACCCTGGCATCTGTTGATGTGAGCTGCTCTTGGGCTGCCTGGAGAGCACACATTCACACAGTAACCAGGTAATTTCAAGCTGTATGCTCAGAACAGATGAGGACCAATGACACTCATGTGGGGAGTCTGTAAAGTGACAGAAGCACAACAGGTGATGTCTCTTCTCATCAACCCAGGTGTCCTGGCCACTCAGCTACATCACAGCACTCTGACAGAGCCGTCCTGGTCACTCAGCTACATCACAGCACTCTGCCGTCCTGGTCACTCAGCTACATCACAGCCCTCTGCCGTCCTGGTCACTCAGCTATATCACAGCCCTCTGCCGTCCTGGTCACTCAGCTATATCACAGCACTCTGCCGTCCTGGTCACTCAGCTATATCACAGCCCTCTGCCGTCCTGGTCACTCAGCTATATCACAGCACTCTGCCGTCCTGGTCACTCAGCTATATCACAGCCCTCTGCCGTCCTGGTCACTCAGCTACATCACAGCCCTCTGCCGTCCTGGTCACTCAGCTACATCACAGCCCTCTGCCGTCCTGGTCACTCAGCTACATCACAGCCCTCTGCCGTCCTGGTCACTCAGCTATATCACAGCCCTCTGCCGTCCTGGTCACTCAGCTATATCACAGCCCTCTGCCGTCCTGGTCACTCAGCTATATCACAGCCCTCTGCCGTCCTGGTCACTCAGCTATATCACAGCCCTCTGCCGTCCTGGTCACTCAGCTATATCACAGCCCTCTGCCGTCCTGGTCACTCAGCTATATCACAGCCCTCTGCCGTCCTGGTCACTCAGCTATATCACAGCCCTCTGCCGTCCTGGTCACTCAGCTATATCACAGCCCTCTGCCGTCCTGGTCACTCAGCTATATCACAGCCCTCTGCCGTCCTGGTCACTCAGCTATATCACAGCCCTCTGCCGTCCTGGTCACTCAGCTATATCACAGCCCTCTGCCGTCCTGGTCACTCAGCTATATCACAGCCCTCTGCCGTCCTGGTCACTCAGCTATATCACAGCCCTCTGCCGTCCTGGTCACTCAGCTATATCACAGCCCTCTGCCGTCCTGGTCACTCAGCTATATCACAGCCCTCTGCCGTCCTGGTCACTCAGCTATATCACAGCCCTCTGCCGTCCTGGTCACTCAGCTATATCACAGCCCTCTGCCGTCCTGGTCACTCAGCTATATCACAGCCCTCTGCCGTCCTGGTCACTCAGCTATATCACAGCCCTCTGCCGTCCTGGTCACTCAGCTATATCACAGCCCTCTGCCGTCCTGGTCACTCAGCTATATCACAGCCCTCTGCCGTCCTGGTCACTCAGCTATATCACAGCCCTCTGCCGTCCTGGTCACTCAGCTATATCACAGCCCTCTGCCGTCCTGGTCACTCAGCTATATCACAGCCCTCTGCCGTCCTGGTCACTCAGCTATATCACAGCCCTCTGCCGTCCT